GAGGTGTCGGCGGCGCTCCACAGCCGCACCGTCCCGTCGGCGGAGCAGGAGAGGAGGCGGCGGTGAGCCGAGCTGTAGACCAGACCCCACACCGCGTCCGTGTGACCGCACAGCGCCCCCCGCAGGACGGACGGCTCTGCAGAGCAAACGAGAGCAAATCGTCACGTGAAGATGTGAAAACAGCGGGATGAAGGGTGGGAGGAGCCGGGTCGTACCATACGAGTCGTAGGGGTCGATGTTGGGGTTGGGGGTGTTCCAGCTCTGAATGGTGCCGTCGACGCCCCCGCTGAAGCACTGCTCGCCGCTCGAGCTCATGGTGACGCACAACACGGCTCCGCTACAGAATCAGAATGACAGACACGTTGGTTTTATGACCACGTGAACGAGTCGGGCTGAAGGTGTGGCGGTGCTGGAACGCTGCCACGCTCACCTGTGGGCTCGGAATGTGTAGATGGGCTCCACGTCCAACGCCGCGCACCTGAGGATCGAAGCAGAGGAGTGAGAGTTCGTTTGTCCTGTAACATCAGCTCAGGCTGCAGACTGCACGACGCCACAGAAGCCCCGCCCACCTGCAGTTTAAACCTTCTGTTTGTGAGGGGCAGCCAATCAGAGGAAGGTTTGCTTAAAGGGAGAGCAGCGGCTCGTTTCAGAGAGGGGATTGACCGAGGCTCAGGATGATAATCAGAGGAGGATTATTTTGAGGAATCATGCAAAGCTACGCTAGCAGAGTCTACACTTGGATCCACGAGCCACTCGACACAACCACTCTGAGCTGTCCCTGCCCTGTTTCATAGAATACGTGTGTGATGGCAAAACGTGTCTCACTTCTTGGCGGGCGCCGTCTTCTGCAGGTTCCACAGTTTGAGGGTGTGATCCTCGGAGGCGGTGACCAGAACCGGCTCCACCGGGTGGAAGGCCAGACTGCGCACCGAGTCAAAGTGGCTCCGCAGGGTAAACTTCGGGTTCCACGTCTTCCTCAGAGCATCTTTGTTGTTGGCGATCTGAGGGAGGGAAACGGTCTCATTAAGCTCTCTGATAGGTTAGAATCAGCTGTGGGGGCGGAGCTCTATGTCAGGGTGCAGGAGCACTGTGGAAGCACTCCTTGAATATTCAAAACAAACCACGAGTGGAATCAGGTTTTACTCGCTTTTCTTTCTGAGATTATGTCCACGAGGGGGCGTGGCCTGAAGCAGCAGACAGGTTACCGTTACTCACGTCGTACATCAGGCCCTCGGCCTCGTTAGCGACGGTCAGTCCGGCCAGCTCGCCCAATCCCAGCTCGTTAGAAACCGCCTCGTCCACTCTGCCCAGAATGAACGACTTCCCCGACGACGGCAGGAACGTCATCGCCTCTGCAGGAAACAGGAAACGTTTGAACATTCACGTCACTCACACATGACCGCTGAGCCGAGACGGAGGGAGGGCTACCGTCATCGGGGCGTCCGACTTCGTGCTCGTTCAGCCGGGGCACGCTCGACCGAGAGGGGGGCGTCACGGCCGGCGGCATGGAGGGCAGGTCCTCGGCGTCCCGCAGGTTAGCCAGCATGTCCTGCAGCTTAGACCGGTTTGGTCCTGCAGGAGGAGGAAGAGAGACGAGAGAGGATGAGGAGGGGACAGGAAGCGCGATGAAGGCGGGAGAACAACGATGTTTGGAGGGAGAGATGAAAAATAAAACGTGAAGATGGAAAGAAGGAGCAGCAGCGGCTCGGCGA